TACCATGCCTACCTCACACATACCACATGCTTAACCCATAGACACCGCACACAGCATGCATAACATGTCCACCTCATGCACACCATACACATATCATACCCACCTCACACACTGCACACACTTAACTCATATGCACCACACACATATTATACCCCCTCATACCACACCTATACCATGCCCACCTCACACACACCACACACTTAACCATATTACAACACACACCACACATGTCATATCCACACCACACATATTACATCCAGCTCACACTCACATCCCATACACAGCACATGCATATCATACCTACCTCCTACACACCATACACATAACACAACCACCTCACACCACACACCACATATACACCATGCCCACCTCACACACCCCACACATTTAATGCATATATATCACACACAGATTATTCCCACCTCACACACATCATTCCCACCTCACACACATATCAATACATGCCACACACACAACACAAATACCCACCTCACACACACCACACACGTACCCATATACACTATACATACCACACCCATGTTCTACTCAACTCATACACAGTACACACATGGCGTACCCACCTCTCACACACTGGACTTAACACATATACACTACATACACACCACACACCTATCATATCTCACGCACCCCACACACCCTATAAACACCACACAGACACCACACACATATATTCATTTTACAAATCACACACACCATATGTATGCCCTGCCCACCTCACACACTACACACTTAACCCATATACAACACACACTTAACCCATATACAACACATACATCATACTCACCTCACACACACCACACACGTATCATACCCACCTCACACAGGCCATACATGTATCATACTCACCTCCCACACATACCCCTACACACTACATGCATATTATAACCACCGTGCACACACCTCATATAGACCATGCCCACCTTATACACACCATGCACTTAACTCATATACACACCACACACATTATGCCCACTTCACATACATCACACACTTCATACCACATATACACCATGCCCACCTCACACACCACACACATTGAACCCATATACACCACCCTCACCACACACATACCCCACACACACCACTTGCATATAACCCTCACACACACAACATATATACCATGCCCACTTCACACACACCATGCACTTAACCTATATACACCAGACACCACACACATTAAACTCACATCACAGACACCACACACACCTCCTATACACCACACACATATCATGTCCACTTCACAAACATAATACACACACTACATATCATGCACTCTTCACATGTACCACACACTGCACACATACACCACACACACCTTATATATGCACAACACACACACCACACTCAACACATAATACCATGCATACACCGTATACATTTCACACACACCACACACATTTCATACACAGCAAACAAACATTTCATAAGTACCATGTACACAGCACACACCACACTCCACAAAAATATTACATCACCTGTACCACACACCACATTCCACACATCATACACAACATATCTACCCACCTCACACACCACACACTACATATATATCATGCCCACCTCACATACCCCACACACTTAACCCATATACAGCACACACACACCACACACAAACCATGTCCACCTCACACACCACACCCATACCCCATACACACCATACACAGCACACATATACCCACCTCACACACCATACACTACATTATACACCATGCCCAACTCTCACACCCCACACACTTAACCCATATGCGGCACACACACCACCCACATACCATGCCCACCTCACACACATCAGGAGAAGAAAACCTCTGCGCAGGCCCTGAGGCCCCAGAAGGAGTGTTACAATCGGTGCCCTTTTAGCTTCGCCACTCATGGACAGTGTAAGTGTTAACAGCTCAGTGGAAGGTCAGTGTGACAGCCTTTGACACCAGCCTGGAAGAGAAATGGCTGTTTGGAATATGAGAAGGGTGGATGTGAAAGATGTTCCTGTTGACTGTGTTAAGTTTCAGATGCTGGCTAGACTTTGAAGTAGAAATGTGAAGAACATTGAAGATGTGAATCTGGGGTTCAGGGTATAGGGCAGGACTCAAGATTTTCCTTGGAGATTGCACATTTTATCTTGAAAGCATTCCGTTTTCAGGGTAGTAATTTCATTTGATAGAACAAAGAGCCTGTGGTATTTTGAGTAGAATGATGAGAAAAATTTTAATCAAACTTATATTTAAAGCATTGTGAATAAAAATAAGAGTAAAATATAGGCGATTTTCAGTCAGCATCAGTGACCTGTCTCTATCTGACCTGAGTCCCAGCTGATATAGCCAGTAGACAGTAGAAAATTCAGAATTGGATTTGCATGTTTTAAAGCTCTTGAGAAGAATTAGACATTTTAATTTCTCCCCCCACCCCTATAGGTATCCTTGTGGATATATTTTTTAGCCTTACTTTTTTTTTCTGCAGGATACCAGTCAGAACTGGGAGGCCTCTGCACAAGCCGTATACAGTGTAGCCTCCGCTTCTGCTTTCTCAAGGCAGAACGCTGGCCCTCAGTGCCTCTTTCTGCTTCCCCTTGTTCAGACCACTGCAGATTGCCCCTGTCCTGTATGACTCCCCCTGTTTTGATGAGCAATATAGGGAGGCTGAGGGATTGATATTATTTGGCTCCATATTTTAAAAAGATAATTGGTAATTACATAAAGTTACATCTAGTTTGAGCAGTACCACTTACAACTTTAAGTTGCTGTACAGAAATTGATCTTTTATTATTTAGAAAACAGACTTTAAAGTTAATAATACTGAGAAAATTCATCGTTCTTTCCTTTTGCCTTTTCTGTCCTTGAGTTATTTATTTTTAGAGCTTTTGTACTTGCTCATCTTCCCTCCCTTTCCTGGGGAGTTGATTTTAAAAAGTAGATTTACAGGAGCTTATCCTTTTAGAGGATGATAAAAACCACTTCACTTGTACTTGACTTTAAAGAAAACATTTTTTAAGTTCCCTGTGTGCCCTTTTCAGATCACATCCAAGAGAGGAGAGACTTCTGCAATATTGTGTTAACCGTTTCCTTTCTTCAAGTGTTATCCACGAGTGTATATATGTATGTGGTAATAAGCATGAAATTTGCCATCTTAACCATCTTTAAGTGGGTAGTTCAGTAGTGATGAGTGTATTCACAACACTGAGCACTAGATCTCCAGTTTTTCATTTTACAGAACTGAAACTGTATATTAATTAATCGACTCTATTTCCTCCAGGGCCAGCCGCTGGCCTTTTGTTTCTATGAATTTCACTATTCTAGATACTTCATATAAGTGGAAACTTACAGCGTTTGTCTTTTTGTGAGTGGCATATCTGAATTAACACATCTTCAGGGTTCATCCGTGTTGTCACATATATGTTATATGACTCATAGAAGCCAGAATTTCTTTTCTTTGAAAAAGCTGAATAATGTTTCATTTCTAAATAATTTCTTAATTTTATGTGACTGAATTTATACCATTCATATTTGCAGTGTTTTTATACCTAGTTTAGGAAATTCTTCTGTATCCTGAGATCATAAAGATAGCCTCCTATATTTTTAAGAAACATTTTTTCTTTGTTTTAAAACAAGATTGCATTTACAGGAGGGTTATCAGTACAATTCAGGAAAATTTGCTTTTCCCTGAACCATTTGCTAATAAGTTGCTGACTTCTTGGCCCATTGCTTCCAAATATTTTAGTGGCATTTCCTAAGAAAAGGACATTCTTCTGTGTAATATCAAAATGACCATCAAAATTAGAAAATTAATACATTTCTATTATCACATCTTCAACTTCATTCAAGTTTTACTGGTTATCTCATCATATTCTGTTTAACAACAGGATCTAGTTTGGAATTACAGATTGCATTTGGTTCTAATTTCTCTTTAGTCTCCTTACATCTAGACCACTCCCTTCATTGAATTGAGATGTATTCGTTCCTCTTCTATTTCTGGGAGGAATTATATAAAACCAATGTTAATTCTTTTTAAAGAATTTGATAGAATTCTTTAGTAAAACCATCTGGGCTGAGTTTTTGTTGTTGTTGTTTGTTTGTTTGTTTGTTTGTTTGTTTTTGCTTTGGGGGATGGAGTTTTGCTCTTGTTGCCCAGGCTGGTGTGCAATGGCAAGACCTTGGCTCATTGCAGCCTCCACCTCCTGGGTTCAGGGATTCTCCTACCTCAGCCTCCTTAGTAGGTGGGATTACAGGTACCCAACACCAGGCCCAGCTAATATTTTGTATTTTGAGTAGAGATGGGTTTCACCATGTTTGCCAGAGTGGTCTTGAACTCCTGACCTCAGTTGATCCACTTGCCTCAGCCTCCCAAAGTGCTGGAATTACAGGTGTGAGCCACCGCACCTCACTGGCCTAGAGATGTGTATGAGATTTGAAATTACAAAGTCAGTTTTCTTAGCAGTTACAGGTCTATTTAAATTCATATTAAATGAGTTGGTAGTTTGTGTTTTTTCTGTAATTGGTGCATTTCATCTAAGACATTCCATTTGGCTAATATATGTGTTTTATTCTTCCTTGCCTTATATAGAAATATTTTCAATGAAAAGACAATCTATTACAAATATTTATTAAAAACATATTTTACATCAGTTTCATATAATTTTATATCTGTTTCATATGCTTTGGATCGAGCTCTAGATGTAGCCAAGATCACAGTGGCAGGCTATATTCAGCACTGATGGGAGACTCAGTGACCTGTAAAGTTTGTGTGTCTACACTCTTGAGTTTGCTCCGCATGAGTCTCTGATCATGCAAATAGCTATGCTGTGGCTATATTGTGCTGACACCTCATTCTGTTTCAATTTTTTTTATGACTTATTCAAAATAATGTGATACGGTGCAAATCAGCTTTGCTATGGTCCCTGACCTCAGGTTGCTTAGAGTCTCTCTAGGGGTTTCAGAGTAGTAATTAGGAAATCAGTAATCAGTGTGGTCAGTGTGTTGTGATGAGGAGGCAACAGCTCCTCATGAGAACACAAAGAAGAGGTATCTCTTTTATTCTCTGCCTCTCTGGTATCCAGTACAATACCTTGCACATAGTAGGTTCTCACTAAGTCTTTGTTGAATGAATGAATGAACTCAGAACTGGGTGATCACAGGGTCACTTTTGGAGAGGACTTGTGTCTGAGCCAAGTTGGTGATATCTATGGGTAGTAGATAAATGGAGGAAATTCTCTCATGTGGATGCAGTAAACATGCAGTGTTGTAGAAAAACAGAAAGCTTAGCAATCCAAATAGTTATATTACCAAATAATAATTATTACTTTTTATAGTCATTATTTCTACTCACTGTGGCATTTAATGTTTCATCTGTATCTCTCACAATGCCCTCTATAGAAGCAGCAATAGTGAAAACATTACACTTTGGAAAAATAAAAAACAGATAATTTTTAGGTGGATCTTTATCCAAATACAATAAAGAAGCAAAACAGAAAAAAAAAAATCGTTGTCTAAAGCTGTCTATTTGCAAGTGGGGAGTGGTTTCCAAAAGTGATTGCAGACTGAAGGCTAAGAAGAAAAATCTCTGACCAAAGTATGTATTAGACAAGGTTAGCTAAGAACCAAAATTCATTTCTGGCTGCTGTCTTTTTCATTACTTGGTTTAGTTTCTAACATCTTAAAAATAATGCTCTCCAAATGAATAAGAAGTATTTTTTTGTGAAGCACAGTATAGTTTTCTCTGGCTCTTACCTACTAGTCTTATTCATGCTATCTTTGCTTTAAAACAATACTTTTCTAAGCTCTAAATATACATGTGATAAATCATGAGTTTACCAATAATAATGGTGGATCATACCGTTGTGTTTTTATATGCCAGGTACTGTATTGAGACCCTGCCATGAGTTATTTTATTTAATGTGGACAGTGGCCTCTCTGTAAACAAAACCAAACCTAGGGCTCCCATTTTACAGAAGTGGCAACTAAGGTTTGGGGGTAAGTTATGTGTGTACCCAAGGTCACTTATGTAAGCCTCAGACTCGCATTTGAATCTAAGTCTGTGTGACTTCATTTAACCACTGAGCTATGTGTGCTGTTTCTAATGTTCATATATCTTTGTATTAAACAAAAATGCCCAGGATTTAGTTTTACTTGCGTATATATCCTTGGAAAGTTATCAGTTAAGTAGGGAAAGAGTTTGTAGTGAAGTAACATATTAAGACTCTCCTAAAAGCAAATTACAGAGACCCACTTAAAACTAGCCAGCATGGCTGGATGCAGATGCTCCAACAATAATTACTGTGCTCTTCCTCTCTGTGTCTCCTCCTATCTCACCTTCTTCTTTCCCCCTCTTTCTTTATCCCACTGCCCCACTCTCTCTCTCATTCTGCTTTTCTTAGAGTGTTAGCCTATTCTCTCTTGTCACAGGAGCAGCCCCAGTTGAACACAGCTCCACCTGTGATCCTAGGAAGAGAAAGCATCTTCTCTGGGAGCTCTGGTGGGAAATGCCCTGGGGAATACCCTTGGTCGTGGGGACTGGGGGCTGTGAGAGGACTTTGTGAGCCACATGGAATGTAGCTGTTAAGGTGACATGTCCATGCTTCATAAGACATGTCATTTGATGGTTGAAAGCTATAATTATTTAAAGATAATACACAATATATTTTAATAGCATTATCAAGATATAATTCACATACCATAGGACTCACCCATTTAAAGTGTACAGTTCAATGGTTTTAATATAGTCTCAGTTGTACAGCTATCACCACTGTCTAATCTGTAACATTTCCATCAAAAAGAGAAATCTTGCACCCATTCAGTCACTCCCTATTTTTCCCAAATTTCTCGGCCTTAAGCAACCACTCATCTACTTTCTGTCTCTATAGATTTGCCTATTCTAGACATTTTATGTAGGTGCAATCAGATGACTTGTGGTCTTGTGTCTGACTTCTTTCATTAGCATGTTTTCAAGGTTTATCTATCTTTGCATATCATCATGCATTTTTTCTATTGCTAAATATTATTCCATTATGTGGATATATGCCACATTTTATTTGTCTGTTGGACATTTGGGTTGTTTTCACATTTTTGCAATTAAGAAAAATGCTGCTGTGAACACTTGCTTAGAAGCTTTTGTGTCGATCTGTTTTTAGTTCTTTTGTGTGAATACCTAGGAGTGGAATTGCTGGCTTATATGATAACTATACCTAACATTTTGAGGAACTGTCCTCCAAAGTGACTGCATGATTTCACATTTTCACCAGCAGTGTGTGAGGGTTCCAGTTTCTTTACATTCTTGTCAACCGTTACTATTTTTTTGATTATAGGCATGTTGGTGGGTGTGAAGTGGTATAATGCATATTTTATAAAAGTCCATTTTGTTTGTTAAATAATGGCCTGTTTACTTGTCATCTTATCTTTTATAGGAGCTTTCCCAGTGGGTTCTGAACCTGCTCCTCCTCAGTCCAGCCAGCCAGCCAGGTAGGCAGACCATGGTGATCAAAGGTAGAAGTATATGTTTACTTTTCTTTTTTAAAATAGATTTTATTATTTACAAATCTATACAGGGATTATTCATATTTTCGTATTAAGAAACAGGTTATAAATTCCAGAGGTTCCTTGGTTGAAGATGGAACAGGGATTCATATTTAGGGTGTATTAGGTGGTAGAGAGCTGCTTGCTTCTGATCTGCAGTGTCAGCCTACTTTGACATGATAGGTGGCATTTATATGACACACATTCCCACTCTTGTTCACTGTGTTATATGTAGTTCCCAGCAAACTAGTTGTATCTCTGCTGCTTTTTTCTTAGAAATGTGAGGGCAACGGTAATGTTTTAGGAATAACCTTGATTATTCAAGAATGATTATTCTTGAACTTGACTATTGGAATTTTCATTAGTATAAATTACTTGCAGCACAAAAAACTGAGCTGCTTTTCTAGGATTCACAATGGTTGCTTCTGATGACTTTCTTATGGCAACGTTCATTAGCAGCCCTGTAGCGTATTTAACATTCACCTTGGCATCCGTATAAAACTTGATACTCTGGCAGTCTATATTCAGAGATGCACAGACAGACGGTCTTCTATCGGTGGCTTTCTCCCTAGCCCTAGAGCAGTCTGTGTATCCAGACTCCATATTGAGTCTTGCCTCCTCAGCACAAGGTAAGAGAATCTATGTTGATCACACCTAATGCAAAAATCTATGTTGATCACTTGCTACCCATTTGCCACATATCACTGTATAACTTGAAAGTCAAGAACTTGTGATTTAGAACTGCTGTTCAGATAATGCTTAATATTTTCATAGCATTGAGCAACAGCAAGAAGAGATTACCCATACTAGCAGTATGCTCTAAATGTGGAAGTAATATGGTGATTTCCATAAGGGAAAACAGGAGCTTGCAGGCATTTAACAACATTTATTTTTTTAAGCTGATAATGTGCCAGGAATAGGTGCTGGGGGATAAAATGAACCAACTGGATAAATATCTCTGTCCTTATAAATGTACATTTCAGTGATTAATGATTTACTATGAGATCATTTATAATGTGTAACAATGAGGTAAAAAATCTATTGTGATTTTTTTTGGTATCAGTGTCTGAAAGCTTTGAAATTCTAAAAAAGAAAATAAAGGAATTAAAAATGTTTAACTTGGTGCTTTTAGATAGTATATTATGTAAGTGACTATTTGCCAAGTATCCAAAAGGCAAGATATTAGATATCCCAATGTAATCATTAAAAGAAAACACTTTTTATATTGACCTGATTCTTATTGAAAAGGGCACTATTTTAGTGAGAGGCAGTCAGATCTCAAATCAACAACATTCCTGTATGTTGATAAGTTGATATTATATCAAATAGAAATCTCATGATAATGAGGCAGGTCAGCAGTCAAAAATTTTCAATTCTTTAGAAGCATAATTTGAAAACTTGTAAAATTAACAGGACAGTTGAAATTGAAATTTAAACATCAGTCAGGTAAAATGCTGAGATAAAAATATTTTGAGGAAGGAGATTTGGAATCTTTTAAAATGAATAGGACAGTTGAAATTGACCTTTATTTTTAAACATCAGACTGGTGTTGTTCTAAAAAGCTTCACTCAGGTTTGGGTGTGGAAGCCCAATCATCACACTTAGAAATTACTAAAGACTCAAAATAGACTTTAAAAAAATGCACGTGGGTACTTTGTACCTAGTGGTACAATGTACCTGGAAACGAATGCTTTCAAGTGAAGTAAGAAAGGATCACAGTTCTTATTGGGGCTAATGCTTCTGATAGGCATATCAGGAATAAATGAATGAATGAATTTTATTAGCATATATAATAAGTAAAGAACTTTACAAGATAATTTATATAGTGATAAGTACCGTAAAGTCAGTAAAATTAGGTCTATGTTACGTGAATTAAATATTGACTTGAACACCTAATACATTTCTAAACTTATTGTGGCCAAAGGGCTCCTGATTCCCCTCACCACCAGCTTCTCACCAAGGGTTCTTCTGTAGATAGTGAGGTGTGGGAAGCTTTTGAAGATGTTATTTGAGTTGAGATATAAATGGTAAAGTATCTGTGTGTGTTTCAGGTATGGAGGTGGGAAAGCGTTGGCTTTGGGGTGGAAATGAGTTTAGTGTGTTGGAGACAGTCAGTATGAAATGTTGGAATGTAGCCAGAGAAGAAATAGTGGTAGATGAGGCTGGAGAGGTGGAAAGAGCCTTGATCTTTTAGGGCAGAATAAGGAGTTAGTATTTCACTTTAATGATGGCAGCAAGTCTGTAGAGTGTGCTAGGTCTGGGGATTGATGGCCTCATGACTGTGGCTCCTGTGTAGTGACTGACTGGTAGAGGCAGGAGAGAAAATGGGGACCTTTCAGAGCTGTTGTCTGCATAAGAAGCCATAGTAGCTGGAGCTAAGAACTTAAGTGTGGATTCTATGTGGAAGGCAGGAGGTGACTAGTCAAGAGCTGATTTCTAGGTTTTAGTTGAGAACTGAATGTGTGATCATTACAGAGATGAAAGAAATTGGAGAAGTTGGTGGTGAGGGGAATCAGAAGATACCTTTTGGCCACGATTGGTTTTGCATACTTATGAGATAGTCAAGTGAGGTGGTTTAGTGGGCAGTGGCATAAATGGCTGTAGTTCAGTGGGGAGGTCAAGATGAAAATGACAAAGGTAGGTGTCAGCAACACAGAACTGACTTCAAAGCCATGAGACTGGATGAACTCCCTACAAGGGGAGGGGCTAAGTTTACTTCCTCAAATTAAGAAATTTGGACAGGATGGTGTGTAAGGTCCCGTCTTTTCCAAAAAGTTAAATGTTTCTTGAATTTCAGAGTCTCTCTAAAAAACTTGAAGCGATGGAATTTTTTGTAAAATGCTTTAGGTCCTTTAAAATCATGAAAGGATGAATGGGAAGAAATACAGACATTTAAGTATTTGAAATCTGTATTTATTCTGAAATTGCTTGTCCACAAAGCATGATATGTAACTGCGATCAGGTATCCTTCTGAAAGTGAAAATAATCTCCTTCATTTTGTGAGGTTTCAGTTAAACCCGATTGGTGGTCAATGTGAACTGACTTTAATCAAAAATTTTAAACAGCTTTATTGAGGAGTCAAGTGACACCCAACCTGCACATATTAGAAGTGTAAAGTTAGATGTTTTCACATAGGTATTTAGCATAGAGCTGTCACCACTGTACTTGTCATCCCAACAGTTTCTTTGTACCCTTCAGTACTGTCTCCCTCCTGCCTCTGATCCACAGGGAAACACTGATACGCTTTTTGTAACTGTATATTAGTTTTCATTTTCTAACTTATATAAATAGAATCATACAGCAGGAACTCATTTTTCTGGCTTTTTTCATTTGACGTGATTATTTTGAGATTCATCCATGGTGTTTCTGTGTCAATAGTTTATTTCATTTTATTTGCTAAGTAATATTCTATTGTATGTATACCAGATTCATTTTTCAGTCATAATGAAGTTACACTACCTTATTTATTTTTCCCTTCAGGTCTTCTGATTTACTGGTATTATTTGTAGACCCAAAAATTTGAGAAAGGTCTCAGTTAATTTAGAAAATTTATTTTGCCAAGTTTGAGAATGCATGCTCCTGAGACTGCCTCAGCAAGTCCTGATGACATGTGCCCAGAGTGGTCAGGACACAGCTTAGTTTTATACATATTTGGGAGATGTGAGACATTAGTCAATATATGTAAGAAATATAATGCTTGTGTTGGGAAAGGTAGGACAACTTGAAGCAAAGCAGAAAGGAGACTTGAAGCTGGAAGGAGCTTCTGGGTCACAGATAGGTGAGAGACAGGAGTGCTTGCATTCTTTGAGTTTTTGATTAGCCTTTCCAAAGGAGGCAATCGGCTATACATCTATCTCAGTGACAAGCAGGTTGTCCTTAGACAGTCCCCAGATCAGCTTTTCCCTTTAGCTTAGTGATTTAGGGGTCCCAAGATTTATTTTCCTTTGACAAACCTAAGACACTAAAAATAAAATGTGAGTGCATATACACACAGAGACACACTCCAAACTCTCTTCATAGAAGGGCTTCCTTGCTCTTGTATTCATCCTTTTCATCCTGTTCAGGGATGAGCTTCCTGGCTTTCATTTACCAGAGCAAGCTTGACAGTGCTGTGCATAGGAAGCAGGCCCACCCTTTCTATGTGTCTGTGTTCTGTGTGATTTTGGGGGGATGTGTGTATGTTGCTGAGCTTTATTTTTTATCTGGATTGTGTTTATGTCGGGAGGTTGCCTGAAATAAAACTGAAGCTTCATAGTTTAGCCTTTAGTTGTGTTTCATAGTTTAGCAGTTATGGATTCAGTTAATCTAGTACCTCTGATTTCACAAGGGAGTCTAATAAATCTTTTCTCAGTTCATAGGAATTGTGTATAGTTGGTTAAGACAGAGATCAAGATGAGACAAACTCATTCATGTGGTAAGTAGATGCTTACCTTTAATCTCTGTGGTGCTTGATTAAATCACTTGTTTTCTGCTTCTTCTGTTTCTGTGCATTTGGAAAAGTTCACTGCTTTTTGGTTCCTGTGGGTGATCTGAGAACACACTTGGGGATTTGTGAGTTGATCACACTCTGACCATTTTCAACATCATGAGTTTACCATGGAGTTTAAGAACATCTGGGCTTTCTCTGCTGTTTTCTGGGGTTGCCTGTGGAGGAATAGAGGCTGTTGTGTCTGATGGCTATAGCCCTGTCCTGGCAGAACAGTGCTTCTCACTGGCTATGCCAAGTGTGTTTGGTTTATGTGGGATTAGAATGTGCCGTTGGCTGTACAATTCAGGGGACAAGTAATAGTCCTGAGAGTGTAATGTCATGTAAATCTCTCTACTTGGTGTTCTCATGATGCTTGCTCTCTGTGTTGTGTAAGACTTAGTGATCTGTCATTTGTATTCTTCATTTAATTGTCCTTTTACTGGCCTGTAAGTTTTGTGAGTGCAGGGACAACCATGTTTGTGTTCATTCATTGTACTTACACAGGAAGTACTTACTGAATGTTGAATAAGATGTCCTTATGCTTCTTGTATTTATTTTACATTTGTAGTTAGAGTTTCTAGTTGTAGCAATTAATAGAGGAAAGGTAGAAGATAAATATAAACTGTTTATTAGTCTGCTCTCCTTGACTTTAAGCAAACTGTTGAGGCATGATTCTCCCCTTCCCCATTTTTTCTTCCAGTGAATGAAAAGCACATGTGGAGCCAGGTCTTCCACTCAGGGATTGGTAGAAAGGCATAGATGCATGAAGCTGGTCTCAAGCCTTAAGAAGCTCACAATCTAAAAGAAAAGTCAACCTTATAGGCCAGTGACAATTGAATATAAGCACTTAGAGAAATTATTTGAAAAATTTTGGGAACCCAGAAAGTATGAATGAAGGTTCTTCTTTGTAGCTTGAGGACCTGGGTGGAAGTGACAGCATTAAGTGAAACAGGAGATCTAGGAGGAAAGGCAGATTTGGTAGGATGATCAGGAGACAGGGTAGCATGCAAAGTGCAGTGAAGAATTCAGTTTTCGATGGTTTCAGTTAGAATTTTCTGCAGGATTTTATGTTTTCTAGGCAATTTGTAGATTTTTTTACACTGTTTTATAAAAAGCTCTTTCCCCAATTGGTAGCTTTGAATTCTTCTTCAGTATTTGTGGGAGGTCATATTCTTCAGTTAGATGTTCTGCCTTACTTTACCAAAGATGACTCTACCAGTAGAGAAGCCAACAAGGAAAATGATGTGCTGCTCTGGGTATCTAAAAGATCACTTCATCTTGGTACTTACGGGACTGCCTCATTCTCTGTGATGGCTGTAGAGTCCCCACCACTTTTGCTATTATATCAGTGCTGAAGTACATAATAAGTACATGTAAACACATCACCTCCCACATTTCCAAATTGTTCTCCATTAACATTTTATTGGTGTTGACTTCCACCAGCAAGGTTTTAGTGTGTCTGTTAACTTATACACTCAACAGTACAGAGTGCTACTAGAGTTTATCTGATTGGTGAAAATGTTATTTTCTTCTGATTTTTAACTTAAATTTCTCTTACAGAGTTTGGGCATCTTTTCATGTGAATGAGTCATTTGTAATTCTTATTCTGAGAGTTCACTGTTCCTATATGCTGCCTGTTTCTGTGCTATATGGTTACTGTTTTATTATTGATATGTAGGAGCTTTAGATATATTAAGGGAATTAGCCCCTGGCGATTTGACTTACACTGTTGCTTTTAAGTTTGCTTGTCCTTTGACTTTGCTTATCGTGTTTTGCCATGAGGGAATTTTTATATTGATGTAATGGAATTATATCTAGTTTTAAAAATTGCTTTCAAATTTTGTGTTACACTCAAAACACTTCAGATACTACGTTTATCATATTCTGAATACCCATTATGTGTTTGGATCTATCTTGGGAATTCCAGTTACATTTTATTGATCTGTTTATCTGCTCATCATTCTAGCTTTTTAAAAAAATTGGTTCTAGTCTCTGAAAGGGCAATCAATCCGCATTGCAAATTTCTTGGCTGTCTCACATGTTTATAGTTCTCTATTAATTTTTAAAATAATTTTGTTTTGAAAAAACCTATTGACATTTTTATTGCATGGATTTAATAATTAAAATAAGGAGAAATGAACATCTGTATGATTCTAAGTTTTTCTATCCAAGAATGGTGTGCCTTTCCATTTATTCAAGTGAAGCTCTTTGAGAGAGAGGTATCTGCTTTGGACAGTTATGTAAACCTCTGTTTTTATTAGAGCCATTAAATATTTTTTGAGTCCATTTATTGTAGTACCTAGTGTTACTATAACTAATACATAATATTTAATGAAAACTAAAAAGCCAGTATCTGTGTGACCACCCTGGGCAAAAAAGTAGAATATTACCAGCCCACAAAAGTTCTCTGTCTGTCACTATTGTAACCCATTCTCTCCTTTCATAGGCAATATTCTAGTGACTTCCATGGTAATTACTTTCATGTTCTTTATAATTTTATCAATGTTGGTTGTAGGTATTCCTAGACAAATGGTTTATGACTTGCTTTATGGAACTTCTGTGAAAAAGATTTATAATGTATTCTTCTGAATTGATTCAAGAGATGTATGGTTTCTTCTGCACAACATTGTGTTGAATTCAGTTCATATTTTTGTAAAAGTTAGAGTTCTTTCATTTTCATTTTTCTGTGTAGTTTCTTACTGTGTGGATATACAACTATATAGCCATTTTGCTGTTAATTTTTTTTCTCATTTGGCTATGATGAACAACGTTGTGTTGAATATTCTTGTACATGTAACTCATACCCCATGTTAGACATGTGGGTGTTGGAGTGGTTGGTCATGGATAGGACTATTTTCAATCCTGTAAGAAAATACTGAGGTTTTCTTTAAAGTAGTGTTTGGCTGTGTGTGAGAAATCTCATTGCTCTACATCATAGTCTGTCTTGGTATTGTGAGATTTAAAAATTTTGGCAATCTGGTGGGTGTATAATAGCGTATTATTTCTGTTTAATTTGTATTTTAAAGATTTTTAAAATGGTTCTTTCCTTTGCCTTTGGGCCCTTTCCTCTCTAGTTGACTTTGAGGTTGGTTTGTGGCCAAGAGCTTTGTTGATGAGGACACTTGTTTTCTAAACATAGCTACACAGAGTTTTGCCTGGGAAATTTACAAAGAATCCCAACTCCCATTTCAAACTTGGAGAATAAAAAGTTTTGGAGCTAGTATCCAAGAATCTATTTCTAACTAGCTGTCTGAGTGATTATTACACAGCTATACTTAGATAGATTCCAGCACAGGGCCCTTGAAACTGAAGGTTGTTCTGTGTGACTATACTATTTTTTCCAAGTCTATTTTGTATTTAGCATTTAAAACACACCTGTATTGGTTATAGTCACATACAAGTGCTCATGGCCCCAAATGGCTAGTGGCTCTTATATTGAACAGTGCAGATCTGTTTAGAAAATTGCTTAATAATCAGAGTGTATAGTATGGTATGCATTTTAAACTTTGATAAATTTGATCTTTGGGATTAGGTTCATGCCTCCCCACTCTCTTCCCATCAAAGCAGGGCCTCACAAAGACTGGCCATTCACAATTCATCTTGGGAGAGAGTAGTTAAAAGTGTAAGTAGGTTATCCAAAATCCATTTATATTATTAAAAAGATAATATTAGAACATATTTCATATTCCATCAGTAGAGATGTGGATATAACAATGGATTTTTTTTGGCTGCTTTTATTGATTTGTTGAAGACTGTAATCACTTTGAGCTATCTTGAAACTTAAAGCTTTTCTGGTTTAAATTACATTAATTTTTGGCCTCTTGTAGAATGCTTCATTCTGACGTAGAGGTAATTTACAAGCTCTTGTTGGTCATATGTGACAGTTGTTGGGCCTGTGGCTAGAGGCTATCATATTGAACATTCATATACTTTCAATATGGTCAAAAAATGGCTCAATTTTCTATAAGTGTATGGTTTGATAGGGATTTTGAATGTTCCAGAAATTCCCTCTCCCTTCTCATGTTCCTGTGAGAGAGATTAAGCATAAAAATGCAGAGAAAATATACAATTTATTGTAGAGACAGCATGTGAATTTGTAACATTTTACATTTTCTCAGCCACACTTTAAAGTGTAAGCACTCTTAGTAGAAATAAGAAAATGGTTAGGTCAGGTTAAACTTTGGAGCTAAAAGGAAAACTCTGTAAGATGGAGAGCCCAGAGGCTGATCTCACATGAGCATTGAGGGTAACTTAGATTTCGTGAAATGTAATAACAGTTGTTTATTATAAATTTATACATACACACAAACACACACACACACACACACACACACACACACACACACACAAGCCGTACTTTTGTGTTAGTCTTCAGGGCAAAAAAATTCCCTTTCAATTTTTAGAGGCACACTCCTGTGTTCTTTCTCACTGTTTCTCTCTCTCCTGTGTGCATTTGCCTCCCCAGGCGTTCCCCACCCATTATTAAGATACTTTTGTTTGGGAAGATTTCGCATTGACGTTCAGAACAGTTATTTGAATGTCTGGGTGTGTATATCTTCCCATCTTTTCTGGTGATGTCACAGTTTTGACTTCCCCATTTGAATTACTTACAGAATTTTTTGCTGATATGATTGATGCTGCTCCCACTTCCTAGAGCCTCTGCCATGGTCTGACTGTCCTTATCCTTCATAGCTCAGTTATAAAGCCCACTGCCAGGTATGCTTTTGGGAGGCCTCCCTCCCCCCCTCCCCACCACCAACTCGCTTCCTGTTAGGGAATTAGCTGCTTTTCCTCTGGGTTGCTCCTGGGTCTTTGCCTTAGCTAACATTTAATAAGTTGTACTCCAGTTTTGTGTCTGTGACTTCCTCCCCTTGTTATTTTATAACCACATAGTCATATCTCCTGTACAGTTATCTGGTAGTTACTGGATAAATGTATGTCTTAAG